CCCTAACACACGCGCGCGCATTATAGCGCTGCTCTCCCCGAGGACGCTGCTGCTACGACTATTTCGCGGAACGCGTGGTTTTCGGCGATTTTCGATTCACGCCGCTTATATATTTTGGATTTTCGAAATCCGATTTACCGGCCCGGCGATAAGGCTGCCGAAGATAAATATCCGAGGGCGAAGCGTTCGCTCGTCCGTACGTCCGCCGCCGCCGAGTAAATTACAAGATAAAAGAACGTACACCGCACTTGGCGAAATGAGTTACGGGATTTCGCGCCAACGAATCTATTCAATACACGTTAGATATATCGGAAAGCGCGCACCGTCGTCGCCGTCGTCGCCGCTCACATTCCATACAATCCCAAAAGAAAAATGTTTGTCTTCAGAGCCCAGCGAGAACAGATGTGTAGGTCCCCAACTTCCACAGCCACTTCCCCGGGTCCACCAAGTTTTCGTCGCTTCTCGCGGTTCTCGAAAGTTGAAAATTCGCGCTATCGCTCTCTTTCTCTATTGAGAGCGCTACCCGCGGGCTCTATTTATGTCCGAGTGACTAATCACACGTGAAAGGGAAATCCATTCGTCGATAAACGCGAGAGAATAATTGGCTCTCAACCATTCCCACCCCCTCCCGGTCTGCATCGCCGCCTCGCTATCAATTTCTTTCCTACCCACGCGCGATTGAAAAGAAGGCGGCGGCGTCGACTCGGCGGATTGAAATTGAAACGAGGGGGGAAACGCCGCCGATTTACGCGAGAACGCCTCGAAATCTCGTGGCGCGATAATGGAGCAACCTAAATACACGTTTCCGCGCGCGACAGCGCGCGAGTTCCAAACATTCGAATTCTCGCGCGACTATCGCTCAAACCGTTCGCGGCCCGCTCGCGGTAACGTCGGCTACATATACAGCGCAGCAGCCCGACGCAGCCACTTCGAGGCAATTTATTTCGCTCCTTCCTCCTTCCCCCTCGTCGAGATATCGTTCCGTCGCGGAAAGAGTGATGGATGTTGGGCGTCGCTCCTACGTGGAACGTACGAAACACGCGCCGTTAAGGTCGAGTGCCTCGGATGTAGGACACTTTATACACTTCCCTTGCCCTGTGCGCGCGCGAGCCTCTTCACGGTTCTCAATAACGCCCGCCAATTTACCGTCGACACGGCGCGTCCGTTTGAATTAGCGATGCGCGAAGGGGTTACGTCGCCCCGGATCGCTACGAAAAGCTGCGTCTCGCTTTTTTAAGGGCTCGTTCTGAAGCCGCGGAAAATATCTCCTGCGATCTAATTGGGATCCAGTTTAATCTTTCAAGATCATCGTTGGGAATCCACACTGACGTACGTGTTTGGTTGGACTTACCCGACGATAGACAACCAAGAGCGTTTTGGTTCAAGGGAACGGAAGTTGTAAGAACGAAATTTGATGCGTGAGAACTAGAAATTGTGTTCTCTTCGACCGAGATGCGTTTGGTGATCCATCGTCACGTAGATCCGACCAAACCAGTTTTTCAGTGCACGCAGATTCTCGTTGGTGAAACCCACATCGAATTTTCCCACATTATCTTACACACAGCATAGATTCCGATTAGAATACGCAAAGTTATCTCATTACGATACCGATTGGAAATTCCATTCTTATCCCAAACATACTATACGCTGCGGTGTGTGACTGAATTGAATGACAATTTGACCGAATATCAGAATAGAAGGTTAATAAACGAAGTTATATGTTTCATGTTACTGTGTTTAGCGCACAACGCGCGTTGTGTACTCGTGAAGTGTAAGTACTTAAAAGGTTTCGTGTATTTCGTTCAATCATAGCATAAAATAGAAAGCAGAAAAAATCTTTGAGAAAACGTCGGGGGGTAAATCGTATGTTTCAAATATTACACTTCTAATCAGAATCTACGTGGATTTCCCAATTAGAATCCATAGTTATTTTGGAAAATCGAGCTCCATTCCCATTTGAGAAATTTTCTATGCGGGAAGAAGTGTAACGTTTCGAACATACGATTTTAAGTGGGAAACAGATCTCAATTGATCATCTCCAAACATTTTTCTGACGCCTATTCTGAATTATAATTGAAAAACATACGAAACACTTTAGATATTCACACTTGATAAGTACACGCATGCGCTAGAAGCGCGCTCTTTCTGTCATGCATGCAGTAGCATGAAAAATATAACCCCGTTTATTAACCTCCCGATCTGATATTCGGTCAAACTGTCGCTCGATTCTGGCGATGACAGTCGCACGCCGCAGCGCGTAGCCACGGCGCGAAGCAACCCGCGCGTACAGTCAATCAGCATCGCGGAAAAGAGACTCCGTCAGGTGTTCAGAATAGAAGAACGAGGTTCCTGATTGGTATCGTACATTCAAAGATAGAATTAGCCATAGGAGCTAAATGGTAGCTAATGTCGTTGCCACCGCAGCTAAATTCATTAGCTGTTCGAATTGAGGCGCTGCAGAGCGAATAATTGTATCTTGTGTCAGCAAATATATTTTACCTCTAACAGTTAACGTCGTTGCTACCGCAGCTAAAATTTATTAGCTGACATTAGCTATCCCAAATTTTAGCTGCCACAGCTAGATCTCATCCGAGTCGAGATTTTGGTCCTACATTAAGTCTACATTAAGTCTTCAAGTGAATCAGATAAAATAACTTCCCATTTGTAGCATCAAAGGAGCGCTATTAGTCCTCCGAGGAGGAAATTTTAAATTCTACATTAAAGTCTTCAAGCGGAGAAAGCGGAAATATCTTTCCATTTGTAACATCAAAGGCAACACAATAAACCTTTGAAGACTTAATAGAGAACTAAATAAACTTAACGTAGAACTGAAATTTCGACTCGGACAGCTCCAACAGCCAATTCTTTCTCTGAATACAATGGAATAACTTATTTTGGATATTCCAATCGGAATCTACGTTATATCTCGGAAAATCGTGAGGAATTTTCATTTTCCGTTATCTCCACTCGTTACCGAGTGATGAAAAGCTGTTTTTTTTTCTCGGGAGCCTCCGGAATTAACCGGCGAGCGTCCGGCCTCGTTCTCTCGCGCCGCGTAAAGTCGAAGAAAGCGGTTGTCGTAACGTCGGTAAAAGCGGAAAGAAGTTTACGGCGTAACGTATACACCCCGACACTCGCGAACGCTCGTTCGCTCGCGCGTTTATCTTTCCGCGCTTGTTACGAGGCCGCGGTTAATAAGTCTCTCTCACGATATCCATGTTAAAGGGAGTTTCGCGCGGAAGTTAATAAAAGCGTCGGCGCAATCCAGAGGGGAAATAAGATTAACGCTTCTTTTGCCGCGCGGCGATGTACGAACAAATGCATCAGCGTGAACGCCTCGTTAAAAATCTATCGTTGTTATTATTATTATCCGGCGCGCAACCGATATTTATTCGAACGCCCCCCCCCCCCCCCCCCNCCCCCCCTCCCCCTCGTACGGGGCAACAATTATTCGAGCGGTCCAAGTGTATCGACCTTTGATCCACGCGGCCAGCGATTCTTCTTTGGGAATACGCGTTATTAAAACACACACGTCAACACACACACTCGGATCGATAACCCATTCGTCATTACTCGCGATACGAGGAAACGTATCGCGACCGGGCAGGTGTAACGATGCTACCCCACGAAATACTCACGCGAACCGGCAACGAGGAGGGCGGTTATGAGCTTCAATCTCGAGCAATCCCAGCAACAAGAGGAGAGGCTCCGCGTTCCGACGCGTTAATAATTTTATTCCGCAAAAACGTCCGTCTATTTAAATATTCAATATTCATGTATGCGCGATGTAAAAATCGTCCGCGCGCGCGCGCGGACACGTGTAGGACAGATCGCGGGGGTATATGAAAAATTCCCCAGAGTTACGTAAACAACACGTGGGCGTAACCAGCGGCACGAATTATCGTGGGAAGATTCTAAATTGGCCGTAAAAGTTTAAATAAATCGAGGGAGGGGAAGAGAGAAAGGCAACGCGCGCGCGCGCGCGAGTTTCGCCCGCTCCGGTGAGCAAACTGTGAAATTTCCGGTGGTCTCTTTCTTCATCCGTCGTCCTCCTCGTCATCGTCAGACAAACGGATGGACGGACGGACGGAGTAACGGGCGGTTAGCGAGATAGAATAGAATGCGGCTTCAAGAGAGAAAGAACGCGCGCGAGAGAGAGAGAGAGAGCGTCCAATGAGAAATCGCTGCGCGTTGCATCACCCTTGCGCTTTAATAATTTAACCGAGATACCGCGGTCGATACCTTCCTATTCTTTTCCCGTAAGGGGGAGGAAAGCGAGCATCCAGTTACGTCGCTGATTAAGGTTCACAGTCACCGACATTCGCGAGAGAGAGAGAGACGACGAAACAACCCTTCCTCGCCGAGGGAGAATCCGCGCGTTAGTGGGGGAAGGTGCATGACCCTGCAACCTCGCTCTCGCGACCTCGCGTCGTCATTGCGCGAGTAAGCAAACCTCGGAGAATGCGGCCCGAACTTTGGAAGGAAGGACCTTTAACCCCGTCCGACCGCTCAATCTACCGAGTGTCGTTGCGGCGTCGTTGATATCGGGCCGGTCGGCGGAGTTTCATGTAAATGTGGCCACGGGGGAGTCGAATGAAGAAGAAACGGACGGGTGGACGCGAGACCGTTCCCAACCGTCCGTCTCTTCCCCAGGCTCTCGCGTTTCCGCGAGAGTATTAATTTCCCGACCGACTCCTCGGCTTTCATTCCCACCGTTAATAATCCGATTATGACTTCGAGTCGCCCTCGGCGTCACTCTCGTCCGAGACGTGTCACGAGCTCGATGATAAAAAGAATAGATAGGAAATTCCTCGATATAAATTCCTTCGATAACGTTGTGCGTGTGTGCGTTATCAGAGAGTTTCTCGCACTTATTTGTATCCACAGGCACTCCGGGACAGAGAAGGTAACGCTAACGGGACACTCACACCAGCACCACCACTACCACCACGATGATAACGCACACTATCACAGAAAATGTTCAATGACGTCACACTCACCTAGTTGGACGTACATCTTTGGCCTGACGTTCTCCTGCCACGCGGCCAGGGCTAAGGTGACGGTAGCGACGACGTACCAGCAGGACAGCACCGGATGCATCCCGGAGGCGACGCGGTGGTGGCTCGCACGCCTCATCTTCTCCTCGCGGCGGTGTCACAGCGGCGCTCGGTACCGGCCAGGATTCGCAGTCTTGCGTAGTCGCGAGGGGACCACGACGACGACGATGGCAAGGGCGACTCCTCGTCGACGGCACACGCGGGGACACGTCGAACGCACCGGGTATACAATATACAACACACCGCGTATCACCGGGCTCACACTGGACTCCGCGCGCGCGACGGAGCACCGATGGCAACAACAACGACGACGACACGCCCACGCGACACCGTGGCGCGAGGGTAACCCGCTACCTCTCTATCTCCCGCGAAACGAACGGAAAACGCGAGCTGACCTCTCTCTCCTCAACCACTCACTGCGCCGAAATCTGCGCGACTGCCGCAGTCACGTGCGGCTCGTCGTCGTAGCCCGTGCTCCTGGCTGGATCCGTCGTCGTCCACCGGCGGCCGGCCGCACGCATATTTTCCCGAGGACGATCGGCCTCGCGGCGGCCAAGCGGCGGCACATTCACGGTCCGAGGGACGCGCGTTGGACACGCGCGCCGACGCACGGCGACGATGGCGAGAGAGAGAGAAATATATATATAGGAGGATCTGCGAGACAGCCGGCACTCGCGCTCACGCGTTTCAGCGTCCACGCGCGAGTGAGCAGCGGGCGATTCTCACGATGATGATGCGCGTGTTCCTTCCGCGTTACCACGGATGATGATCAGCTGTGCTCTCGCGCGCGCACGCGTCTCGACGATCCGCACAGCCGACGGTCGTCGTTACACTGACGGTCGCGAGACAGGTGACACGCGTCCCCCACCACGGCGGCTGCGCTCTGTGTTACCCCCCCCCCCCCCC